GAGGGTTATTTCACACAGATAAACAAGGAGGGCTTTTGGTACAGAGCTGGATGGAGGTGAGTAAGAGCAGTCTCTGTAGGGGAGCAGTCTACAGTCCATTTGGGCAGAGAATGGTATGCTAGACATTTTTTGTGTACACTATCAACATCCACACATGAGCCAAAAGGGAAGGCTTTGCCATTTCCTCTGGATCTGAAGGTTCAGGTCTTTAACACATCCATGCCCATGTCAACAACACACATTCATTCACACAAGGCCTTACATACTAAGGACTTCCTCTGCTCCCCACAATCTAGGGAACAAACCTTTGAGCATATCTGTGAGGGAGAGTTTGGTTGGGTTAGTTGAGGTGGGAAGACCCATCACAAATGTTGGCGGCTGCACTCCATGGCCTGGGGGCCCACACTGAATAAAAAGGAAAGAGTGAATTGAGAAGTAACACATTTTCCGCTTCGTGACTGTGGCAGTAATGTGACCAGCTGTCTCTCTCCCCTGCCGCCACGCTTTCCCCACCAGGGTGGACTGAACCCTCAAAGTATGAAATGAACCTTTGTTTTTCCCTAGGTTTCTTTTTTGGACTCCATTGTTGCCGCACTGAGGAAAGTAACCAGGATGGTATCCTTGTGTGCAGGCTAGTTTTATGTCCTCTTGACACAGCTAAAGTCATCACAGAGAAGAGAGCCCCAGTAGAGAAAAATGCCTCCATAGGATCAGGCTGTAGGCGAGCCTGTAGGGCTTTTTCTTAGTTAGTGACTGATGGGGGAGGGCCCAGCCCATGGTGGTGGTTGCATCCCTGAGTTGGTCCTGGGTTCTATAAGAAAGAAGGCTGAGCAGCAAGGCACGGGAGCAAACCAGTAAGTAGCATTCCTCCATGGCCTCAGTACTAGCTCCTGAATCCAGGTTCCTGCCCTGTGTGAGTTCCTGCCATCACTGCTTTTGATGATGAACTGTTCATAAAATAAACCCATTCCTCGCCAAGTTGTTTTTAGCCATGGCGTTTTCCATAGCAATAGTAACCCTGACTAAGACACCTTGCCCAGGCCTAGCTAAACCAATCCTTCCATCAGTAAAAGAAGATAGAAGAGGATAAAGAAGAACCACAGGAGGAACCGCCTGAGGAAGGAGATGCCACAGGAAGTGAATGTGGTGGAGGGGGGAGAGGGAGCCGCTGAAGGGCATGATGGGAGGTAGACAGACCAACCAGGGCAGGAGAGGCTGAGATGGGCAGGAGAGACTCAACCAGTGGGGTTTAGAGGCAACCCTGGTGTTAAGGCCATCCGCAAACACCCTCTTCCTTTTAACTGTGGTAAAATCCAAGTTATGTAACATTTACCATTGTAACCATGCTTTACTATATTCTTCAGCACCCTGATATCACACCATCTATCACCAGAATGTTCCGGTCAGCCCACGATGAAACTCTGCCCCTTCTCTGTACCTGTCTCCACACCCTGCAAGCTCTGCCTAAGCTTAATGCTCTATGTGAGGTGGGGATGACTTTGACCTTGGGCAAAAAAGTGAGGACAATCATGACAGCAGAGTTCTGATTATTGACCCCTGTCTCACCCAAGGGCTCTACATAGTCGATCTTATGCAAATTTGGGCTTATTGTTGTTGGTTAGTTTTGTTTTGTTTGTTTGTTTGTTTGTTTTACTCTTTACTCTTTTGTTCTTGGGGGGGGGCGGGTCTGACATCCAACTCCCAAATAAATCACACATTAAGGCTTATTCTTACTTATAAATGCCCAGCCTTAGCTTGTCTTGTTTCTAGCCAGTTTTTCTTAACTTTAAATTTTCCCCGTCTATCTTGCCTCTTGGCTTTTATCTTTCTGTATTTCTGTATATTTCTTGCTCCGTGGCTTTGCTGTGCAGCTGGGTGGCTAGCCCCTGATGGCCTCCTCCTTGATCCCTCTTGCTCCTTTGTTGTTTTCCTTCTACATTTATCCTTCTGTTTATTCTCTCTGCCCACCAGCCCTGCTTATTCTTTCTCCTGTCTTGCTATTGGCCATCCAGCTCTTTGTTAGACCATCAAGTATTTCAGACAGACAAAGTAACAGAGCTTCATAGAGTTAAACAAATGCAACATAAAAGAGTGCAACACATCTTTGCATCATTAAACAAATGTTCCACAGCATAAACAAATGTAACACATCTTAAAATAATATTCTACAACAGCTCGTAGTGTGTGCAAGTCCAGAAAACTGAGGTTCATCGTGATTGGGGCTTGTGGCCAAGGGTCCACAGCTGAGAACCTTCCCAAAACCCAGGGCAGAGGGGATCTCTGTCAGCTTAGACATTTGAGTGATCTGCTGGATGACAAGAGGAACCATCTGACTAGTCCTGATGACTAGTTTGCTCTGTTCCTGTGTGGCTTTTGGCATCATTAGGATGTCCTGACAAGACAGCGGCCATAGAATGCCAAGGCTCCAGCACTGCTGCTCCAGGGAATAAGGAGGAAAGTATGTCGCCCCCTTTGAGATTCAAGGGGACATGAACCCCAGGTGTCCATGTGAAGGTGTGTGAGAGTCATATTAAAGAAAAGCTTGTAGAATGGATGGTTCTGCTGTACCCCCTTTGAGAAACACACCCTGCCACGGGATGACTATCAGAGAGATAATACATGTAATCAGTGAAGTTTTCTTCTTTTTCCGTCCTCACCCTCTTTCTTCAAAACCAGATCTGTGCACAGGGAGAAAGATCAATAGGATTCTACAGCTGACCTCACACATGCCTCAGAAAACATGCTTAAGCACCGCTGCCTTGCAAGCATGTGACCTTGTTGCTTTTTTAAATATGGCAGCCCAAATCCTGTGACAAAGAAACTGTTTTCTATCTTTCCTTCAGGATGCTGATTTCCTGACTCTTGATCAAAGTGTAAAAGCTAAAAGAAGAACACTAGGTCCTAATCCTTGTCAACAAATTCCTTCCAGCCAAGAACACCCAGCTTCCAATGGGTTCACCTCTGTAGGAATTTGGGCATGCTAAAAGAGACCCTGTATTTCACCTCAGGATCTTCAGCACATCCAACTGGAATGAATGTCATACTTTTTAGAGAGGGGAGATATTTCATTAAAGACATGCACTGTGAAATGGGTAACAGAAAATGACTCATCTGTTTATTCTGAATATCTCAGCCTAAATAGAATGCTAGATGTTAAAAAAAAATGTGTGTTTATTAAAGAATTTTTAAGAAATTCAAAATTTCACTGGTCCTAGCTCTTTAATTTGAGGTGAAGCCAGGGAGGCTGGATGTTGAGCTGAACTGAAAACAGGGCTTCACTTGTCCTCAGTCTAAACAGAGGGGAAATTTTCATATACGCACCCAAAAAAGCATTTGATTATTTTTCTTTAAGTGCAAATAATATTTTTGGCTGCTAAGGCATTAAGGATAGGCTTTTGCCTTTAGCAAATAAAATGCAGTTCAAGACTCAAGCCAGACTCACCACCAATTTAGACTCTTTTAAAAATTCTTATGACTTGTTTGAGCCCTTCCAGGCCATTGAAACTGGTCTGGAACCTTTGGGTAACATCTGGAAGAAATGATGTTGGCCAGTGCCAAAAACAACGTTTAAATATCCATTGGCCAGCCGAAGTTCTGGGAGGGAGACGCTCTGGAGAAGGGGTGGGAAGATCAGACCCTTTTATTGGCTTGAAGAACAGCCTGACCTCTAACACATCCTGCGAAGACTGATGTCATGTAGCCGGGAGGTGTGCTCCTTAGCCCGCCTGTGCTCTGCCATCCCTGTCAGTTGTAAGCCCCTGGACATGCCCAAAGGTACGCCATTTTCTGGAATCTCAGCTTTTCTATGGTGCTGTGAATAGAACCCAGGTCCTTGCCCATATGAGGCTATATGTTCTATTTGGTTAGATTCCTGGCCAGCAAATACATCCATTTCTGACACGTTCTGTGGTGATCTGGCAGCCCTTAGCTTTTCTGTGACTTCTAAAGGGGCAATGCACCATTTAGTTCAGCTGTTGAAGCCCAGAAGGAGGAGAGAGCCCAGAAAAACCTGACATTCAGGACAGGAAGCAGACTGAGTATGCCTGGTTTTAGCAGCCTTGTTTCCAGTATCCTTAGCTGTCTTTCAATATGTGCTTGAGTATCTTTCCAGACAAGTGACTCTCTGCTTCCTAAACTCCTGTTCCATTAGAAGTCTTTGCTGGGCAACTCTTCCCAATACTGACATGGAACACCGAAGTATGAAGGAAATGAGTAAGTGCCAGGCTGAGATCTCCTCACTTGACTGTCCTGTGCATGTTGTGTCCCTTTTCTCAGCCCCTACAGGTCCCTGCAGAAGAAATCCTGAGGCTGAAACAGAAAGGGAGCCTCTGTCTTTGAACCTATCTATGGCGGTGGTTCCGCTTTAAGGTGGAAGATCACTGGACCAAGCCATGGGACAGCCTTCGATCCAGGGTGCAGTGCATGTGAACTATGAGCCTGGAGGGAGTCTGGGGCATCATGGCTATTGGGATTCCTGAAGATCGTACCTCAGGACCGAGAGTTGAAGGATTATGGAAGGATTTCTTCCTGCAGTGTTGTATTACCAAGAGTGGGCATTAGGTGAAACAGGTGTGGGCTGTGCATTCTCTGCTCTGCTCAGTATTCAGCCTTGCTTTCAGTGTTCAGGCCACACAGGGCCTTAGAAGCCACTCTACGGATGTTCCAGTGCTATAGGAATGGAAGCCATCGGTGAGTCTCGCTTAGAGAGCCATACAATTCAATTACATAGTGGGGCAATTGATCAAATGCTATGAAAAGAATTGGGTTTGTGGGGTCGGGGAAGGAAACAGGAATTACATGTCTGCCATGCTTATCTGGGTAGGAGAGGATGTAGTCCAGATCACTGTGAGCTGCACAAGAACACAATACATAAATCTAGCTGCCCATGGTGCCACCTGGATGCAAAGTGGTTGTGGGTAGAGTGTGGATTCCTCCGGGTGGTCCTAAGAAATAGAACAGTAAGGACATATGCAGCTATAGAAACGATATAGAAACCTATTTTAAGGGATGAACTCACAAGATAATGGAGTCTGGGAAGTCCCAAGACCTACAGTTGACAAGCTGGAGGTTCAGGAAAGCCAAGGATACAGCCTCAGCCCCAAAGCCAGCAGACTGAGGGTCTGGGAAGAGCTAGGAATGCAGAATTAAGTTTTATTGTTCTTATCAAGTAGAAGAGTATTCGTGTTTGCGTTTATGTTTTTCTATTGAGCATGCGCCTATTTGCAAAATACAGAGTGACATTTTTCACTATCTCTGTAGATAAGAAAAAATAAACACAGAAAGAATAAACAAATTAAAATAGTCTTTCCCAACATGGGTATTATATTATGAAGTGTGTGAATGAGGAAGTGGGAGAGAAGTTTAGCAATCAGTTTCCCTGTGATCTTACACAGTAACCAATTAAAGAGAAAATTCCATAGAGTACTGAATTAATCTTCTCAGCGATGACTAATTAGCTAAACACTGCACACACCCATCTCTCATCTCTTAGTCCATGGAACCTCAAAATGACCCTACTAATTATAATGCAATATTGATAAGACATGCAGATGTTTTCAATTAATATTTGTAGGCTGGGCCAGTTTATCATAACGACAGGACAATAGCTTAGGTGCTGCCAGCCATAAGAAAATTTTTTAAATACATCATTTCTGGGAAAGATACCAAGTTTCAAAACACGAGATGTTTGAATTCTGATTTTGAAAGGCAGAGGCTTAACAGTCAGGATGAAGAAATAGAACTTCATTATCAAATGAAATGCAGCCAATGGTTTGGTTTGAATCACTCTAGACATAAAGACCTGTCTTAGATCAGAATGCCTGCCCCCGATCTCCTCCTCTGAAATGGCATGCACCTTGGAATCTGCTAAGCTTTTTAATATCTGATAGAATTACTAAAGTCTAAGGTGAGTATAAAAATTTGAAACCTTACAACTAACATAAAGAGAATAACCATCTAAACCAGGGCTGGAGAGAGGGGTCAACGGTAAGGCACTTACTGCTCTTACAGAGGGGCCAAATTTCATTCTCAGCATCTGCATAGGACAGCTCACAACCACCTGTAACTTCCAGAGGCATCTGAGGCCTCTGGTTTCCACAGACATCTGCACTCATGTGTACATACCCACACAGAGACACACATATACAAACACACACAATTAAAAATAAAGCAAATCTTTAAAGAAAATCTAAACATTTTGGAATTCATCGTGGTGATTTTATGGGTCAAAATAACCACTGGTCAAGAGAATCTAGGTTATGCTTTGATCACAAATCATATCTAAATCCTGACAACCTAGCTCAAGAAAGGTTTCTTTGTTTCTTGCATTCCTATCTGTCTGTTCAGCAGAGGGCTCTACTCCACTAAGTGACTCCAGCCTGTAGTCCCTTCCTCCTATACATACAGCTGCTTGGAACACTGTGCACGTGTCTTAAATCTCACCCACAAACCACTCTTTCAAAATGTAGAGGCAGCAACTCATGTTCGGCAACACCCCGAAACTGTGTGCAGTGACTACTTTTTTGTATAATAGACCGTGCAAGAAGTGACAAGTCAGTTCTGACCCTAGATCATCAAAGGAATTGTGACTTCCTCCTTGTTCTGTCTTAGAGAGCTTGTTCTTGTGAAAGTCAGCTGCCATGGGGTGGAGATGTTTCGATTGTTTACGGAAGGGTCCCTGCAATATGGGATGGAGCCCTCTTTCTGACAGTGAGGGAATAAAGTCCCTGTCAGCCACAGAAGTGAGCCATCATACATGTAAATCCTCTTGCTCTTGTCAAGACCAGCATCTTTTAAAAACGTTTTTAATTGAAAACATTGTTTTTACATACAGTATATTTTGATCAGGTTTTCCCTCCCCCAGTTCCTCCCCCACACATCCCTACTTCCCAATCCATCCAAATTTGTTCTTTTCCTCTCTCTTTAAAAAACAAACAAAATAAATCAAAGAAACGAGCAAAAAACAAGAAATATACAGAAAAACCACAAAAACAGAAATCAAAATAAACCAGCGAAAGAGCAATAAAACAACAATTGCCCAAACAAAGCAAAATGAGACAAAAAGTCTACAAAAATACCCTTAGGTTCGTTCTGTGCTGGACAACTCTTCCTGGGCATGGGGCCTGCCCTGATGTGGAAGACCAATTGTCTTTGCAGTGACTCTACGAGAGAGGGGGGGGGGGGAGGCAGAGAGACCAGCTCAACCACTCTACATCTCCACATTCACAATTCACAGAGCTAATGGAATATCTAGTGTTTGTAGGTATACACTACTAAATAATCGGTGACATAGTTATTGATAATCAATACATGGAGACAGGGTTCTGTGGCTTGAATCTTTGATGCTCCTCATGAGCAGATGTTTCGAACACTTGGTCTCCAACTGAGGGTTATTGTGGGAGGTCATGGAAATGTCAGGAGACAGGACCAGTCCGAGGGAAGTGGGCCACTGGAGTGGGTCTTTGGGGGTATGTTTTCTCTAGCCTCTTCCTGTCTCACTCCCTGTTTCCTGTCTTTGGAGAGGTGTAGAATCATTTTAGTGGCTGTTCCAGCCCCTGCCCCTGCCATAGACTTCTGCTCAAGTGTGTGTGTTGTAGCACACTTCCCTGCTCTGATACTCTACTGTAGCACTTAGGGCCATGTGACTGTGGACCAGATCCTGAGAAGAGGCACAGTGAACATCAACACTCAGCCTGTTAGCCAGAATTGACCAAACAGCTTAAGGGCATTGAATCCTCTCATATACTGAGCAGAGAGGAGGCTCACACATGAGCAGTTCCCATGAGACCCAATTATAAAACATTTAAGACCTTGATGATAATTGTGCTCTTAATTAAATACTTGGAAATTTTATAAAGAATGCTTTAATGATGTATAAGTACCTAGAAATGTTCAATTTATTATATTCATAATTATGAAATTATAGGAAAAATGTATGGTCATTAAAATGTTGATTTTGTTTTGTTTGTTTTTCAAGATAGGGTTTCTCTGTGTAACAGCCCTGGCTGTCTTGGAACTCTTCAAACTCACAGAGATCCATCTGCATCTGCCTCTTGAGTGCTGGATTAAAGGTGTGGACCACCACCACTGTTGAAATGTTGGTTGTTAACACATAAAGCCATTATTTTGCAAAATCCTAAAATTTATTACATTTTTATTAAATCCTAAATGTCCAAATATAAATGTTCTCACCTTATATGAAAGTTCCTCATACTTTAAAAAGCCTTCCAACCTACTCAGAAGTAGCTGGACAAAAGTTCATGAAGAACCGGGTGTTTTTCTAAAAAGCAGGAGCAGGCCTGGCTTCTTAGAACATTTCTAAGTAGAAACATTAACTTGAAGGCAGAAGCATGCCTGGCAAAGAAGTGAGGCACACGATTCACCGAGAAACAGGCCACGGCAAACCTCTCACGTCTTCTTGGGGAGGGGTTTTCTATCTACAGTGTGATCGTAGCAGGACATAGTCCAAGTGGCTTTTCTTTTTCTTTTTGTGGTGCTTAGAATGGACCCAGGGACGTATTACTGCAAGACACTCTTATGCTGAGCTTCATCCCAGTCCCTTCAACTCAAGTTTATCCTTGTGCCATATGATATATTAGTTTATAGCTAAAATGATACCAGAAAGTATCATCCTGTTTAGAAATATAAAGATGTATGTCTCATTTCCTGACTGCCCCTCTTGTGCCAAGAAACTTAGATAACACAGATGTAAATGATGAAAATCCAAGTAGGGGAAAAATTCTACTGAATCATCCGTGACTCAGAATGACTTTATTGGACTGAACAATGCTCTAAGAGATTTTTTTTCATTTTTACTAGGGTTTCTTTTAGAATTTTGTACAGTGTATTTTGATTGCATTTAACCACTGCCCTCCCAGATCCATTCCCTCTTCCCTACTCACTCAACTTTGTGTCTAGAAAAAGGAACTATCAAGTCCAATTTGTGTTGCCCATATGCTCTTGATGTGTGGCCTTCACTAGAGCAGAGTCAACCTACCAGAGGCCAAATCCTTAAAGAAAACTCTGTCTCACAGAAGATGTCAGTAGTTCCTCAGCTAATGGCAGGGCTTTATCTCCACCTCCTCACCACCATGTTGGGACTTTGTCTGGCTTGAGCTTCGCAGATACTGTGTAGACTGTCACAGCCACTGTGAATTAAGATGTGCAATGGTCCTCCTATGCCTCCAAATCAGTGTCCTCATGGTCATCCACCAACACTAACAGTATTGTTGACCCCTCATCCACAATGTTCCCTGAACTTTTGGAGAAGGAGATGTGATATAGATGTTCCATTTGGGGCTGACTGTTATTCTAAGAGATCTTTAAAAAAGAAATGCATATGTTACTGAGAGCCTCTCACTTGTAGAAAAGGCCACTATGTCTTTGGCTGCTTTTTGTTTGTTTGTTTTGCTTTGCTTTGCTTTTTCAGTTTCCTTCAAGGCCAGTAGAGAGAGGGTCCCAAGGCTTTATCTTCTTTCTTAGCTGTCTAAGTATAGAGGACCAGAGCTTACTACTTGTGTTCTGTAGGCAAGCCTTGCCATCATAATTCTATCTGTCTGTCTATCTATCTATCTATCTATCTATCTATCTATCTATCTATCTATCTATCTATCTGTCTGTCTGTCTGTCTGACGGTCTGTCTGTCTGTCCGTCCATCCGTCCGTCCATCCATCCATCTATCCTTCTATCTATCTATCTATCTATCTATCTATCTATCTATCTATCTATCTATCTACCTACCTACCTATCATCTATCATCTGTCTATCTATTATCTATCAATCTATCATCTATCTATCTGTCTGTCTATCTCTGTGTGTACACATGCTGCTATCTGTATTTCCCCTGTGCATAAGCACTTGTATGTATCCCAACTACTTTGCCTTCCAGTGAGGGAGTTAGGTGAGGCTTACCTTCACTACCAATTATATTCAGTCCAGGATGGAGGGATCTGAGGTCACCATTCAGAGATCAAAATGAATTCCATGACAGCATAGATCACAGAGGCCTGCCTTCTGTCAGTCTTGGGATGCATGCCCAACCATTTATAAAGCCTTTCCCTCTTATTTTCATCTCATTTTGCTCAAAACTGTTAGGACACAAGCCTGGAAGGAAAGGGGTTTAAGTTTTAGGTCTCAACTCGACCAACTGGGCATGGACTACAACTCCAAAATGTGACATGGCTTCTTGGAAAGCGAATGACATGGAAAGTAACATCTTTTGAACTGTCTAGTACTCAAAATAGCCACAACCCTTTATTTGGCAATGTTCAGGCCATAGAACAATGGCGCTCATTTCTGAGAACCATATTAAAAGCAGTTGACAGAGTGTCGTGATCAGGACAGTGAGTGAAGGGACAGGGTCACCAGAGAGGTGGTAGAGGAAACTAAGGTTCTGTAACCTATGCAGCTGTGGGTGGAATGGAGACATACGGAGAGCCTCAGGCATTTGAAAGTCATGAGCAATGAGTGTGGACCAAGCAGGTTCTGCTCAAGGAAAGAGAACTCAACCTGGGCACCGGCCAGGAAAGAAAGCAGGTTCTAACCAAGGAGGAATAATTGCTATCACAGTGCCGAGGGGCTGAGACTTTTCCATTAGAGTTGCTGGGGAGAGGCTTGGGGAACATTTGTTAGGACTGATGCAAAGGAGTGTGACTGGGGCAAACTGAACTAGTGACCTGTGGATCCTTCCTCACTAAGACCCCATAGTCCCGGATCTGGCTAGCACCGTGGTTAAGTGGATGGGACTCTTCTCTGTGAAGAGAGTCTGACTTCCTGTGGTTGAAAGTTAATGCTCATACATAACTCATCCTTCTCAACCTTCAGTGATGGAGAGGGTCATGTGTCTGAGTGCTTGACTGTGAGCAGCTAAGCAGTTCCTACCTGGAAATGAGAACAGATATAAGGTGTTGTTTCTGGGCCAAAGTCATTAGCTACAAGTGCTTGGTCTCCTGGCATACTCTTCATCAGCATGCAAGGAGGAGATGGCTTATGTCGAGGTGGGAAGGCCCAAAGAAGAAAGCTAAGACTAAATACAGAGGAAGGCAGCTGGGAACAAGTGTTCACATCTACAGCTGACCTAACAGAAGTCAAACAAAATCTCCTTTTGACAAACCACTGAGGTTTGGGGGCGATTTGTTATTGTTATTGTCATCTGATTTTCCAACAGAGGGTGCACATGCTTCCTGTTGGACTAGGGAGGGTGGAGACAGGTGGGTGACACAAAGCTCCCCCAGAACTGTCAATTTCATACAGCTGTGGAACACAGCATATGAGGCCCCTCACTGTTCAAGGCCCTTGACGGGTTTGATCCCAAGTAGCTATGGATAGAGAGCTGAAATTCAGTCAGGCCACTACTTTAGAAAGATCAAAGACACCCGCTTTGTGAGAAACTCCCATACCTGGTGTCTGAGAGCAAAATCACATCTGGAGCTATGTCATCCCCTGATTTTACATTTATTTATTTATTCAGTAATGGTATGGGGGTCTGCACATAAGAATGTGGATGCATGTCCAGGCATGTGCGTGGAAGACAGAGGACAACTGGCAGGAGTAAGTTCTCTCCTTCTAACACATGGGATCCTGGGATTAAACTCAGGTAGTCAGGCTTAGCAGTAAACACCTTTACCTGTTGGGCCAACTTGTTGATCCTTCTGATTTAAAGAAACCCGTTCCTTCCAACGAATTCAGAAGAGCTTTATTTCCTGGTTGTAGAAGCTGAGGTCCTGAACACCATGTTTTTCCATGATGCCCTAGCATAGGGCAGTACACTGTGAACATATTTCTTCAAAAGGGAGTTGAGCAGCACCCCCCACCCACCCAGTGTCAACAGCCCAGGCTGGAAGGGGACAGCAGGGCTCCTCACAGAAGCTCGGTTTACAGTAAGGCTCCCCTTGGGCCCCAAGACAGCTTTGATCAGTGTGAAACTTCCACAAACACAGAGGGAGAAGAGGGCTAGGTTTTTAAACTGATCCACACACGTGAGAAAGGAGGGCTCCACGGTCTTCACCAAAACCAAAAGCCTCCTTAGCTCTCCTACCTCCCACAATGGTCAGTTCTCTCCGTAGGTCTAAGTAACTATATGTTTGTTTTCTTTTTATTACATTTCATCACATAATGAAAATTTGGTGATAAACGTCACTTGAGGTTTTCAAATCCAAAATCGTTTGCTTCCTATTTCCTGTGTAGCCTTGGGCAAGTTACCCAGCCACTCTGTGCTTCCCTTTCCCTAACATTTCATCAGTTTGGTATATCTCAAACTGCTGTCTCAGCAGCCAAAATAATTCATAATGGAAGCAAAGAAAAATGAGAGTACAACTTACCAAAATTTGGGGAACACAGCTAAGGTAGTTCTAGGGGGAAACCTTACAGCCATGAGTGCTTATTTTTAAAAACTCAGAAATATCTCCAATGACACTTTCCTTTATATGTGAAAACTAGCTTTAAAATTGTGCCCGTGAGTATGTGTGTGTGTGTGTGTGTGTGTGTGTGTGTGTGTGTGTGTGTGTGTGTGAAGGCCATAAAACTAGAAAAGAGGTCATGAGAAAGGATCTTGGCCAGAGAGAGAAAAGGAAAAAGGGATAACAGAGCATGTATAATGAGAGAGCAGAAGCTGGGACTGAGGCAAGGAAGGAACCAGGGGAAGGGGGAAGGGACACGGGAACACATTGGTCGAGGGTAACACTGACAACAAAGGATGATGTATATCCATGGGAATGACATTACTTTATATGCTAACCTAAGAGCTGCTTTAACAAAAAAAAAAATATATGAAATAAAAGAGGGAAAAAATCAACTCAAAAAGAAAAACATACAAGTGTCCAAAAACCAAGTCATGCCGTTAAAGAAATGTGCAGTATCTTATCAATGGGACGACAATTTTGGGTGTCAACTGGCAGACGTTCTAGAGGAACAGTGGCTGATGCTAAGCTGTGAGCGAACACAAGCAGTTCCGAGGAGCATGAGAGTGAGTCCAAGCTCCCCCCTCTGAAGGGCACTGTGCCGACCGCATCGTGTGTACACGGCCACTCTGCTCCTGAGTGTTGTGTCAGGAGTCGAGTGGGCACATGTAATGTGTGCTATTTATGGTAGATAGGGAGGTGATGTGTGCTTTGGAGCAAAGAACCAAGCCTCTAGGGAGAGCTGCATCCTGCAGCATCAATCCTATGGGTTTCAATAGCTTCACAGCTATGATTCATTAGGCTCCAGTCTCACAGGATCCCAGATGGGTGAATCTGTGTCCTACAATTGCAAATACCCATGTTCAAGTGTTCAGAACAGAACATAGTCATTGCCATAGTCACCATCACAGACTTCTAAAACTTGTTTCTTTTGTAGAAGGGCTGGAGAGACGGCTCAGCAGTTCAAAGCACTCACTGCTCTTCCAGAGGTCCTGAGTTCAATTCCCAGCACCCACATGGTGACTCATGGCCATCTGTAACTCTGGTTCCAGGAGATCTAACACCATTTTCTGGCCTCTGAAGGCACCTACACACATATACATACAAGCAGACAAACACATAAAAACAAAATTGAATAATTTTTTTTTATCGACTAACCTTTAGAATTGTTAGACATTTTCTGTGCATTCAGGATACTATTAATCAGAAAAAAAAAGAACACAGCTCTTTCCATGTTGGTGGTGAAGGCAGGCAAAAAGAACATCTTCCACCTGCAGCCTTGATCACGCAGAAAGCAGAGTAAAGAGGGCATGCTTGGTTGGAGCAGAGCGGCTCCTGTGCAGGCTACCAGGCTGGCTAGCTAACGGAGCATCCCACCAGTGTCAGATCAAAAGCTCCCATCTGAAGCCCCAGGCGGCACTCTGGAAGGCCTTCTCTCACAGTTAGCTGTGTTTGGGTAAATGATGCACTGTGGGCACCACTCATTCATTTACTGAGAGGTACTTTTTAAAAACTGGTTTATCTTGGAGTGGTCCTCAGGAAGCCACATAAGTTAAAGTGAGACATCCTCTTCAAAACTTTACCAGGGCTTTTATGACTAAAGTGAGCATTTGGTAGAACCGTTTTAGATTTCCCAGAAGAGAATTCTTGGTATAACAAAAAAAATCTTGGCCTTAAATATATTTTGCCTGTTGATGAAGTGAACCTCAATTTAATATATATATATATATATATACATTGTTTTTTTCTGAGCTGAGGATCGAACCCAGGGCCTTGTGCTTGCTAGGCAAGTGCTCTACCACTGAGCTAAATCCCCAACCCTTATATTTTTAATTCATTAATTTTTCAAAAAATCCTTTTACTTTGATTTTGTGTTATATAATATGCTGAGAGATAGAGACACAATGGTGTTAGACATTGAATTGTGTCCCCTCAAAATTTGTATGTTAAGATCTGCTATAGTTTAGATGTTGGATTTCTTCTCCAGAGGTCCATGTGCTAAGGTCTTGGCCCCCACAGTGGAGGGACTGGAACCTGAAGCTGAAAGGGACTGGCAGAAGATGTGTGGGCATTGTGATATGCCCTTAAAAGGCACCGTGAGACTCTCCTCTTCCCTCTCTCTGGACACAAGGTGAGTGATTCTCCCGGGCCACGCACATCCAGCGCATGGTATGCTGCCTAATCTCGGGCCCAAACAAAGCTGTCCAGTCATGGGCCAAAACTTCCCAAACTGTGAACCAAGACACACTTTCTTTTTATAAATAAACTACCTTATAATCTCAAGTATTTGTTATAATAATGGGAAATGGATTGACATCACATTTGATTCCACAATGCCTCAGAATGTGGCTAGTCACACTGGCTTCTGTCAAAATGTCCCTTTTCCTTCAGCAAAAGGCCAATGAGATGAACTGGGCCTTTGAAAGCAGTACTGTTCTGCCCACCTGAATCAGGCAGAGACTAGTCTGGGCGCCATCCTACATCCCCTATCTTTTTTACAATACTCTCAGCCACCTGTCTCAGCTTGTTGCTCCGTCCTTGTACTGTCCCGAGTCCGGCTTTTATGGCATTTCTTCTGTTCTTTGCTTTACACTTGTGTTGAATGGCTCTTCTACATTGGTTCTTGATGCTGTGTCAAAATGGTTCTCACTCATTTTCATCCTGTGTCTTCTCTCTCCTTTAGGAACAAGGCTGGACCCTCTGGTCCTAATGCTGGACCACCAAAGCAGCTAACATTCCCTGATGAGGACAGACCCAGACCAAGCCCATTTTTGGTCTTAGCTCCCGCAATAGGAAGATAAGGTCTATAGCCCTGATCAATGCCTGCTGAGCCTCTTAGATAAGCTCTGAAGTAGCTCTTCACCATGCTGGCCCTGGTCATAGTCTGCAAAACTCTGTTGGAGCCATTACAGCATTATAAAATTACTGTAGTGGGTCATAGTCACTACAAAAGCAGAAAATATTAGCAAAGATCAACTGATGTGACACATGGTAAATAATCTTTTAAACATTAATTTCCACCATCTTTATACAGGGTTTTCACATTGTTATAACTGTATCTCTACATTCACATGTTGAACCAAACACCTGGTGCCTTGAAAAATGACTGTATTTAAAAATGGAGACAATGGCCTGAAAGAGTTGATTAAATTGAAAAGGTACCATGAGGTGTAATAATTGACTTGAACTGTCAACTTGACTTACCTGAAGTGTGATAGAAAACCAGTCATAACACCATTAGCAAAGGGATTGCCAAAGATGATTGGCAGCCAGGTCAGGGAGCTGAGAGGGAAGGACCCTAAATGCCAATGGTACTAGCCCATGGTCTCTGGCCTGAACAATCAAACATGGAGAGGTGAGAGTGTCCCTGCTCATGCTCTTGACCCTTCTTCAGAAGGTGCATTTTATGTGCTGATACTGTGGGCACCTGATTCCTAATTCTGTGGATATCCCAGTCTTTAACTGGGACTGGAGCCATAACATGGATCTTTCTTATTTTGAGGTTTCTAGTTTCTTGAAGGAAGCAGCTACTGGTTTCCTGCATCTTCAGCCTGCAGATGTCTACTGTTGGTGAACATCCAGGCTGTGACTGAACAAGCCAATCAGATAAATCCTCTCTCATAATTGTATGTATTCCTTTGACTCTGGAGAACCCTGACTGATTCAGTTTGGTAGATCTTAGTCTAATATGACTATTGTCTTAATAAGAGAGAATAGGCCAAAAACACACAAGGGGGGAAGTGTAGCAGACTTTGGGGCTACCAGCCAGCTCCCAAAGAAAGACATAACATGGAGACTTATGAATTCTCAGCCTTAGCCTTTTTTTTTTTTTTTTGGTCCCATTAACTCTTATAACTTAATTTAACCTGTTTCTTTTCATCTACATTTTGCCTCAGTGATTTTTACCTTTCTTTCATTCTGTATGTCCTATTCCATATCTGGCTGGCTGGCAGCTACCTGGCTGGCCCTGAGTATCTTCCTCTCTTTCTCCCTCATTCTCTTCTCTCCCTTTCTGTCCCCCAGTCTAAGTTCCTCCTCCTACATCTTCTCTCTGTCCTCCAGCCCCACCTATCCCTCTTCTGCCTAGCTATTGGCTGTTCAGCTTTTAATTAGACCAATCAGGTGCCTTGGGCAGGCAAGGTAAAGTAGCAACACATCTTTACATAATTAAACAAATGCAGTATAAACAAATGTAACACACAGTTGTAGTGGGTCACCATTCCAGCTTTGATCTGGAAGTCCCAACCCCCATTGAGGCTTCGGTAACTGTCACACCTACAAGGTGGGGCCAAGGGAGGACCCTGAAGACCCGAGATCCAGATGCGCCAGCCCTCTTGGTTCCTGGACCCTGGACACTAGAGGTAGACCAAGCAGAGTTCTCCAGAGAACACCGCTGGACTACACCACACCTTTCCCAGACCCTATAAATTATCCCTTCACTTGTAAGTTACCCCACAAAATAAACCTCCCTTTTAACTACGTGGAGTGGCCTTAATAATTTCACCAATACACAGTTACATGGTTAAAGTGATATTCCACAACACAATCAAATGTAGCACAGTTTTAAATAGTTAAAGTAATATTCCACAGCAGGAAAGACCCTGAAAAGACATAGGAAGAAGACTATCTTCAGGCCAAAGAGTGAGGCCTTGGAAGAAATTAGCCCTGCTGTTATCTTACACTCAGATTCTTCATTTCTAAAGTTGAGAGAAAATAAATTTCTATTGTTTCAGAAACCCAGTTGGTGGCAGCCCCAGAAAACCCACACAGACATCCAATGCAGTTTTCATAGGGTAGACCTCAAGTGTGTTGGATAAGTCACTGGCTTAGAGCATCTCTAAGGACTTTTAAAGCTTAAATCTCATTAATGGTTGAAAGAAATCAATTCCTGTTCTTCATTTTGCAAGTGACACTCCCCGTGGGTCTACAAAACATATCAGCTTTCTCTATGAGCAGGTCCGATGCAGTACTCGCATGGGATGGGGGTCTGAGCAACATCAGACTTTGAAGCCTGTAACTATGGTTTTTGATCATCAGGAAGGCAGAACAACACAAGGTATCTGGGAGATGGCCTTAGGAGTCCACAAACCAGACAGAACATTGCCTCAAAAGGGACAGAGCTGGGCACTGACATGCCCTGGCTCTCTAACACCGAGTCCCTTGTGTGATGAGATACTGCAAGTATGACAGTAGGTGTTCCTGGATCTCTTTCCACTCTTTCCATCAGTCAGACCCTAAGACCATCCCAACATAATGAGGGCAAGTCCTGTTCCTGGCTGGGACAACAGCACACTCGTCACACCATGTGCCAAAGGTGAGTCTGTAAGTTTTATTCCCAGAGCACCATTTAGTGACGACCTCATCTTGGCAGGTCTGTTTCAAGTGGTTAACAGTCCCTCTCAGTCAGTATACAACCTCTGATGCCTGCTGGTAAAGACTCTTCTGTCTCCAAAAAAAATCTCCAAATGATGGTTAACTTGACCCTGGCATAATTCATCTTCGGCAAATAAGTGAAAAGGAGCTAACGCCAAGGCCCTGGCACATCCACAGAGCAGGCTTGGAATGAGGCATGGCCATGACCTCAGTCCTTGGCAAGAGTTACAGGCTAAAAGAGGGGCCAGAAAAGAGGAGGGAATATAAGACATAGGATGCCTGGCAAGGGTATTTCCTTTTGGCTGGGCCCAGGAGAGACTACAGCTCCTCCATCATTCAGTGTAGAATGTTGACTGTGTGTCACCTGAGCTGGCCACATTATCTTCTCTGAGTGTCACTGAGATCTCATTTTTCAAAGAACATCTTAAAAGCACAGGATCATCAGGTTACTCTCTCCAGGGTGTCTATCCTTAACTATGAGAATAACATCTCTCATGTCTCTCATCTCTCATTGGCTCAAGAGAAAGCAAAGGCCTTTGGGCAGAGTTCTACTTCAGGTATTACTTGAAGCTGATTTCTAAGATTAGAACCGCACTGTGTTTATTAATAAATAAGAAAGAATGCTGTGCTTCTCTGGGTATGGGCTCTTTTTCTGTGGCCCTTCTCTCATTTGCTCAGGGTATCTAAAGCATCTGAGCTTTGGGGGAGATGAAGGTTAATCTATGGTGAAATGAGAACAGTTTATTCAACATCTTCAGCATCCTACTGATCTTTATAACAACCCCAGTGCCATACTCAACAACTTAAGCTCCTGCTTTGCAGACAGAGAGACTCAGTCCTGAAGGACACCAAGCATATGAAGACTCCAGCAAAGCTTATCTGTTAGTCAGGGCTAATGCCCCTCATGTTTTCCATGTAGCAAAAGCTAGAAAGATGGAATCATGCCCAAAGGAGACAGAAAAGTGTGGAGAAGGGACTCCAAGCATGATTTTGAAGATACCAAGAAAACTTCATAGGCTTTCCCAAAGCAATGGGGGATAGTCTCTATGACAGGCCCCAAAGATGAGCCATGGGCAATCCCAGGTTCATAAATACCAGAACTGTAGTGAGTTCTGACCTTTGAAGGATGAGTCTGTTTAGATTTTGGAGTCGTTGGTCCACTAGGGAGGCCAGTCATATGCTGAAAAACTCAGGGCTTAAGATGAGGTGTGATCTAATGACTTACTAGCTGGATCACCATGTCTGTGGACCTCTCAGATGCTTCCTCATTCAGAAAATGAAAATAACACCTTGTATTTCCTACTGCATTTGAGGGGATTCGCCCTATGTTAGGCAACTCCTCTTCATCACCCTACCCATGAAGAAGGCATGTGTGTGCCAGGCTGTTTCCTCCCTCCCAGCAGTCAGAGGTGTTGAAGCCACATGGAAAATGTAGATTTCACCACAGAGCTTTCCTTGTTTGAATGAACTGAATCTTTATTTTTCTTTTACAAGCAAAGAGCTTTTCATTAATTTGTGCCAGACCATATAATATATTCCGCAGTGTTCTTGTTTCATTTCATTTTCTGAATTTCCAAGAAAGCTTCACAATTTGGTGTGGTGAAGGGTCTCGTGGAAAGAAGAAAAGTGAGAAGTAGTTTCTTTTCAGCTAAACTTTAGTTTAAGGGTTTCATAAGGAATAAGTACAACTGGATGTGTGTGGGGTTTTCCTTAAAGGTCTACATCTAGACTCTTTCTAGACAATGTGAGGTTGGCAAGAGCTCCACTCAGAAGTTCAGTGATATAATAAACACTTATTTATTTTATTGTGGATCATTAATCACCAGTTACAGCCTTAGATGGTAGGGAGAGAAATGAACAGTCACCGTAACTCCCTAGAAATGTGAAGCAGCAAAGCCAAGCTCATGCATTTGGAATATTATTCTGGGGCAAGAGAGAAGAATCCTACAGACCTGGTTGATTAGAAAGGAAGGAGCAAGATCAGAAGGAAGCCGTGAGATCATGCTAGGAGGGTGAGGGCCACTGAGAGCCTCAGCTGCCCAACCCAACACGGGCTTCACAAAGCTATTTCAGTATAATGGAGTGATGGAACACATGCAGGGCAAATCCTCCCCAGACTAGCTGGGGGTAGGGCAATAAGCCGTGTTTCCCTGTAGCTTTGTGACCTAGATTAAGTGACTACCCACACCTCTGAGAATGTTTCCTCACCCACAAAGTAGGGCTTGTAGAATAGTCCTTACTTTGGGGAAGGTGTTTCAAGAAATGACACTTGCTGGGTGACTGGCCATCCATAAGTGTCACTGTGACTATAAAATGGAGGACAGGGGTGCAGATTGGGAGCTGTTGATCAAAAATGCAAAATTTAAATTAGATGGGAGAGATACATTAAAGAGGTTGACAATGTCTAGTGTGATGACAATATTTACACGATGCATTCTCGAAGTTTTAAGGGAGGGTTCCAAGGCAGAAAGAACGGGTTTTGCAATAGTCTCTTTTGCCTAATGGGCGGTGACACATGAAGACAGGTTGCTTCCTCCTCAGACATTCTTTGGACAAGTGGTTCTCAATTCCAGTTCCACATTCAAATCAGAGAAGGTTTAAAATGTGCTAAGCCTCCCAGCCTCACGGCTGGCATTTTTCCAGAATCCCATGTGTGACTTCAGTGTGCAGCAGGGTTCAAGATGCCTGAGTTAGGAGCTTCTAAAGCTGTTGCTCAGAGTTACTCAAATGAGGGGAGGCCAGAGCTACCAAAGGAGTCCAAGGGAGCTGGATCTGAGGCCCCAGTGTGGTCTCCCCGAGCCACCCAGCAGTGAGCTTCTGCTGCTTCTTTCCATGGGTTCTGATGACTCCTGGATGTGGACGGCAGCCTGGTGACCCCAAGGCCCTGCTCCTGTATTGCTTCCCACCATACCCAGTTTCCGGTGATTCCTTTTGCTCTGACACTGAGGACCCCCCATTATAGATCCTCCCTGAGGCCACTGGGCCTGCAGCTCCCCGCACCCCTGACCCAGAATGCTGTTAGCATGGGAGATAATCACTCCCTCCACATGCTCATCACTCGGCCCGAGGCCAGCCCTGGACAGAGACTCCCATATACAGGCAGGAAGCGAGGCTAATGACGTCTTCTTCTTCATCTCTCCGTGAGCAGGTTCCCCACTCTGCTACCGAGACTGCAAGGTCTCTTTCCTGAATGGCGCACTTGTCACTCCAGAGCCACCTCTCTGGCTATTTGGTGTCCTTCTCGGGCAGAGAAACTGTCACTGTCAGATGGAGATACCTACTCATATCAGTGTGGGCTGGGGGGAGGGGGGTTCCATGAGTGTTGCTAAGGATCAGATTCACAGAAGTGAAGGAACATGTCTGTCGGTTCCAGCTACTGTATAAACATAGACAGACTAGCCCAGGTAGTCTAGAGGACAGCCATTTATTTCTTACAGTTCTGGAAGCTGAGCAGTCAGAGGTAGAGCTACTGGATTGAACTATAATGACAGCTCT